TTATACATTTTTGACATAGCAGAGGAGAAAAACAAATGAAGGTAAAATATGTTGAACACGCTGATGAAATCTCTGCAAATCTGGCATCTGGACTCAAGAATGAATTGATTCAGCGATCACAGGGCGAGCTCGCTGTAGTCCAGGTGATCTAAATTTCACTATCAGATTTGGGACAGTGACGTGACAACAGCAGTCCCTTCAAGGTCCTTTATACTCAAGGTTAAAGACGTTAATACAGAGGCTCAATACGGGACAACATTCAAACAGAGCATTACTTGGTGAAAGTGGGAAGGAAAAACTCCCTTTTAACAGGAAGAAACCTCAGACAGAACCAAGCTCGAGGAGGGGGGGCTTTATTTTTTGAGTTTTTGAGATGTTGATACATTGCCAGATGTTGAAGACCTTAAAGTGGGTCAAAAACCTTTAAAAAAAAAATCTTGCAAATTATTTGATACATGAAGCCAACATTTTGCAGCAGTCATTATAAATGTCCAGTCTTTGGACCATAACAGTTAGAGGTTTAAGGCCCGTGTTGTTTTGAGATGGAATGACCCAGTTACCGGTACTGGTAATTTAGGGCAGCTGTGGCACAGACCTTACATTGGGTGGTGGTCTAATAAATTTGTTAAGCACTGTATCAAGTACACATGTGCCTCTCAGGTGGACTTCAAAGAAGCATAATGGAAACCAGTAATTGTCCACGGTGCCTCCAGCTGTCTGTGTCTGACAGACTTCAGTGTTCAGAGTCCCCTCAGTGTAAAACTGTCAATAATAAAGGTTCCCACATTCAACTCTGTCATGATGCTACTTGTAAACTACAAAAATGTCCAAATGCATTTTATTCATAACTAAGCATTAAAGACAAAAATGCAAAGAGTAATGTGGACTTTTGAAACATTGTTAGAAATGTCTTTATACTTACCCATGAAAACAAATTGGAGATAAATGTTTGGTTCATGAATTTATTGCCTTCCTTTGACTAAAGTTGCAGGTTGGTTTGCATGAAAGCCGACTGTTATGTGCATGTGGAAGTTATTAAGAGAAGGCTGAAGATAAAGCACCGTTTGGTTTTCTGTAAATCTCTTTAGAGTGGGAGCTTCCCACAGGGACTACTGAATCATAACCTGACACCAGAGACACGTCTGGTTCTGAAGCTCTATCCCGATCACAGGACGACTCATCTCTTTGTGTAGAACAGACGAGACTGCGTCATCAGTTTACTTCCTCTGTTGGTTGCCTGCATGGCCAGCCAGGTGCTTATTCTGTTTCTCATGCAAATGTGAAATGCATCTTGTCTGCGTATAGCTCCGCCGTGCTCACGGTAATTTGTGAGCTTCTGTCACAGGGACACAAAGCGGCACTTTGAGTTAATTGATCGGAATCCGTGTGGACACAGTTTGCGGTCCAGCGCGGGCTTTTTTTCTGTTTGTGTGTGTGTGAAGGGGAGCAGACAGATGTGTTCATTCATAATAAATGCAGGTCACTTTACAGGCCTGGAGAACATCTCCCTGAAATGTTCCCACAAATAAGTGGGCTCCTGGCTGACATCATCGCACACTGCATGCATATGTGAACTGTTTCCTTCTGTTAATGCAATCAAAGCCTGCGCCTGAGTCTATGTTCGCACAGAGCAGGCCGAATCTGCTCGGTTACATTAAAAACGTGGCTGTGGCTCAGCATTAAAACGTTCAGTGTTTTTTAGGGAGACTGTCTGGGAACATGAAAATGCATAAGCAGTCTCTGCTGCTGATGTCCAACAGTTTCTCTAACTTTCTGAAACCAACAGCCTAACATTCACAATCATCTCTCGCTTGTGTGGAGGTGAAAACCTACCCTGGATATTTTCTTTCAAGCTCTGCTCTTCACACTGTCTCTGCAACAAACTTTGAACAACTTAGGCCTTTTTTTGGAGGAGACCATCAATGATATTCTGTTGGCCTCGTATTTATGATGATGTATGATATTAAATATCTCCATTCAATAGGACTGCTGGCTTTTGACTCGCTGGTATAAACACTTTTCATCTCTGGTGTTCTTTTTTTGTATAAAAATGCCCTCGGGCAGTGTTCACAGCCAGCATTAACAGATCTGTCCACACTGGACACACAGGTGTGAATGCCATTTTCAACTAACTCAGTCTGAGCGATGCAGATTTTTTAACGGACAGCTGACAAAATGATAGATATAGCTTAAAACGTTATCCAGCAATCACTCAGAGAAAGTAATGCCTACAAAGTATCAATAGATGATAGAGGAGATGGTAAGCTTCACCATATATTAGTTAATTTTTGGCCTTTATTATGTAATAAAGTGAACATTAGATAGGAAAAAAAAAATGGGGAGAGAGCAACAGCAAAGGCCCTTGGGTTGGAGTTGAACCTGCGCTGCTGCATTTAGCCCTGCGGCATGTGGTCACCTGCGAGCTAAACTGGTGCCCAGATGTAGCTTACTTTAAGCTACAGTAATAGTTCCTATACATCTAATGCTAGGGGTGAAGTGAAGCATGATTAGTTTATTACTGCCGTGAAAGAGTTGGATGTCAGGCAGACGAGCGGCGATGACTGCTGAGTGACATCCCATTCTTACTCCATAGGGGTTCATGTGATGTTGGACCATCCTTTGCTGCATTCCCAGCTCTGCACCACTGCCCCTGATGCTTTGCATTGTGCTTGCTGATGTATGCAGGTGTTTGGCCATGGAAACTCATTCCATGAAGCTCTCTATGCACTGCTCTTGAGCCACATGGCGTTCGGAGGTCTGCAGCGACTGACTGTGCAGAAAGTTGGTGACCTCTGCGCACTATGTGCCTCAGCATCCCCTGACCCTGCGCTGTGAGTTTACATTGCCTTCGTGGCCACTAACAGTTGATTGCGGAGCATTTAGTGGCGAGGAATTTCATACCTGGACTTGTTGCACAGGTGGCCTATCACCACCCTGGAATTCACTGAGCTCATGAGAACAGCTAATATGGATGGATGTATCAGTTTATGGTGTTTAGGGCTGTTGCAGGCTACGTTCTTAAACTGATGGAATGTGCACACACACATACTGGCGAATTAGTTAAAGGATGAATTAACTGATAAATAAAATACTAGTATCTCATCAAAAATATATTAGCAAACATGCTAAAAAATACCAATAGCTGAAACACAGTGAAGGGTTCTGGTTCAATCACTAGAATTAGTGAATGAGGCCTAGTCGACGCTGATCAGTTACAGCTTCCTGTGCTATAAATCAATGTGGCCACGCCCCTAACTACCTTGTCCAGTTGAAAATCACCCCATTCAGAGGTGTTATAAAATAGGAAGCTGTCAACTATGTCCAAAACTGTTTTGGTCCCATACTGCAGATATACCTTTCAATCCTCTAAAGTTGGATATTTTAAAATGAGAGTGCATGAGGATGGACTCGCTGTAGGAGCCAACCTCAGGTGGCCATCAGGGGAACGGCAGTTTTTGTTTGTTTGTTTGTTCTAAAAACTTTTGCTTTGGCTTTAATTTTCATCTCCAGAGCTTTTTAGTTGGGTGACTTGTTCAGATATATATTTTTGATTTGTTTCAATTTTTTAATCTGTCTCAGGGAATGAAATTTAGTAGTGTCCTCGCTCAGTCCCTCCCATAGTCTGTTCCTCTGTCGGTAGGCTGATCAGGTCGATGTTGTGACAAAGTTTGACAGACTCAGACTCGCCTGTCTCAGGCTGCAGGTGGTGATGGTAGCCTATGACCTTATGGCGTTATGCATCACATGTCTCTTTGCTGATTGTGTTTTGTATATCTGTGTACTGTCACACGTATATTCATGGAGTCATGGAGTCTTCTCACTATTGCACTGCATGTTATGCAGCAGGATTGGCCTTTTAATGTTAATGTATACCAGTAAGATTAGTAGATTTATTTTTGTTTCTATCAGAAAGATAATTAGGAACTAAGGCTTTCATTTAAGTGAAGTGGACTAAACACTCACTGTGCTGCAGGTATTGCTGCTAAAAGAAATCTGCCAAATGTAAAGATTATGGCAAAGAAATGAAAACTAAGATCCATCAGCCAGCGTTTGTTCTTTTTAATCATTACTACTCGTTTTGTTGAACCCTGATTGTGGTTGTGAAATGAAAGAAAACCACAAAAACTACCAGCTCAGTTTGTGTGGAGACCCAAACAGAGGGAAATGACTTTCAAATTCAAATGTTTAAATTTAGCTGTGCGGACAGAAGAACATGCTGAATTATCCAAAAGAAGTTTCCAAGGCACAGAAAAGTGTGTTTTGTGCACCTGGTTTTACCCTGAACTGCTTCCTGTTGCTCTCTGGGCCGTCTGGATGGATATATTTAATTTCCTGCCTTCAGAGACCCCCCCCATCTCTCTCACTTTTATTCTCCCATTTACTGTTTCATGCACACACACGCATACACACGTTGTCTGAAGTGTCTTCAGGTCAAGTAGGCTGGAAAGAACTGCGAAACATGCTGGAAAGTAATTTGTGGATTTGGGAGTCCCGCCTGATCAGTGCTGCTGCCTGACCCGACCTGACCCTACGTGACTGATGGTATCGGAGCACGGCGGCCTGTGGAGAAGCTTCACAGAAAGGGGACTGCTTTTAATAATCTCATATGTGGTTTCCTCACCCAGCATGCTGTTGAGGGAATGTATTATCAGAGTTAGCCTGAGGTGAAAGGGTCTGGAGGATTTTTTCTCTCTCGTTCACGCTCATACCCTTACAGTGCTTATTATCTCTTGTCCTCTTATGTAGCGAGACAGCTGGCTTAATCTGGCCTCTTGAATTCATCAGGTGTGAGGTCACATCCGTGCCGGCCGCAGCGCCTCTGTTTATTTCAGACGTGCGCACAGATCCACAAACCTTCCGACAACTGTTCCCTGCATTTTCCGAACGATGTTCCCATGTTTCCCCACCCCCACTTATTCTCCTTATTCTTTTCCTGTAAGCACGTGTGCTTTTATAGACGAGGGGTCACCAGTAGTCAACTCGCTTCTCCCTCCCTCCCTCTGGCTGCTGCAGTTATCCACAGCCTGTCCTGTTGTTCGCAGGGTTTAGTCTTTCTCTTTGCTTTTTGTTCTGAAGTTGCCGGCTGCGTTCGATGGAGGCAGAGGCCACTTCGTGTTTAGGCTTTGGCAGACATAGAGCAGAGGAAATGCTGGATGGACCCTGGCTTGTATTTTTCGTGCATCACATAACAGAGATGGGAGTTATTCAAAGACCCATAAGGAGGAAATGGTAACACAGACACACAGAGAGAAGAGGATCGGTGCCTTCTGAGAAGTGTACTGGCTTCCAGCGTAATGAGCAATGTGTGAACTTGTTAACTAGGCCTATTCTCTTTGACCTTAATTTAAATTGAGGATTAGCCATCTCATCAGAGTTCTTGGTGGAAAGCCAAGGCTTGTTTTGCCTTGGGCAAAACTCAAAAGGAGGATTGGGAAGGAAAGTAGCTGCTCATCCCTCAGAGGAAGCTTTTGCATATTTCCTTTGGCAGGGAACTTGAAGCGATTAAAAAGCGAATTTATTTGGATTGACTTCAAGAAGAGAAAAACACACCACATTTACATTTTTTTCCGTAATGGATTTGGATCAGTTCTGTACCTTAACCCGGGAGCGTCCTGTTTATCTACCTGGATTCAGCTCATCAAAGGATCCAAGAATTTATTGATAATCTCTGCGTTCCCAGGCAATGGAGCTCCGTAAGAGGGTGAAGCCAAAACATGGCCTTTCACAAGATGCGCCGTCTGAATGCAGATGTAACCATAACGCTCTGTCGGGAACGCAGGAGGGGGGTGAAGGAGGGGTTTCTCTGCTTGGGCGATCCGGTTCCCGTTCCCATTCCGGTTCAGGCGTTTCACCCCTGCGGCCTTGGCAACAGTGCATTTTCATGGCAGCAGGGCTGTTAGCGGCTGTGCTGCTGGCACTGACTCAGGCCTGGTGTGTGAACGGCTTACATGAGAATCTGCTGTGGTTCTCGCAGCTCACGGTAGGAGTTATTACGTGTTTATAGAAAGTGTTTCAATTTGAGCGATTGATAAACCAAACACATTACAAACGAGCTCTGCTTCGATGTGACCGCCTCGGGGGCAGGTTCAGTCTGCTTCCTGGGTTCAGTCTGCAGCACGGTGCTAATGAAAACCATCACAGCACACCGTAGTCCAATCTGCAACCACAGTCAGAGCTCCCGCCCCTTCTGTGTTGTTAGGTCGTTACAGAGTGGCCCCAATAACAGTGAGATCACGGTACAAAGATCCAGCAAGCAACAGGCATCTGATGCTGTTATTATCTACAAAATGAACAAACTCCTTTATAGTTGAAGTGGCATAGATGTATTTTTTTCTGTCTGTTGCTTTTTTCTTTTCTGAAGTTAGAGATAAAGTTTCGCCTGCTCAGTTGGAAAAGTGCTGCATAATTCAGAAATGTTAGAAATGATCTTAAACACCAAGAAATATCTCTTCAACCAAGATGCCACTCTGCCAAATCAGTGCAGTTCCTGGAATGGCCAGTAGAGGCCGTCTCCAAACTCGAGTCAGTCTCTGTAGACGCCAATGTTAAAACGTCTGACTTCACAGAAGGTCACATGCAGACCCTGGTACGAAAATGTTGGATCTCTATAGCTAATTTTTCTCTTCATGTGTAGGAAGTTTTTATGAAGGTGTCTATTTGTCAACTTTTAACATTATGTTTGTGTTGTTGCCTCCAGTGGCAACAACACAACTTCTATATACATGTCTATTAATCCACATGTATTTGTGGAAATGCCGTGCATCCATTCAATGTATGGATGAGTCCTGGGAGGCTCGCTCTCTCGACGTGCTGCCACTCCATCAACTTCTCAGACGGTCTGTTAGCTTTCATTTAAACACAGGATGTAGATGCCATCCATCTTCCTGCAAAAGGTCAAATCTGTGACTCCAAGTGCTTCCTGGATGTTCCCATTTCTTGAGCTGTGAACTCATTCTTTCAAGTTTGGGGTGTTTATTTGCTTCTAAATCATGCAAAGATGATGTGGTGAACTCATTTGCAGATAGTGTTGAAACAGCTTCTTCATAGATGGTGCCAGTAATATACTTGACCTCCTTTTGAGGCTCGTAGCTGATACGTCTGTGACTTATCGGGATCAGTTCACATGTGGAGCAGCTAAATGTTTTGACCTTGTACCTCGCTCCATATTAACGGTTAGTTGCGAAACGTGCTTTCCTGTTGTTAATCAAAACGCTCTTACCATGATCAAAATATTTATTGTAATCTGCCATGTTTTTGTATGATGTCAGTAACTTTGATAGTTTTTCCAGATGTAGTCTTGTTTTTCTGACGGAGCAACAAGAACACAATAACCGAGCGCCTGTGGCTGCAGAGAGTCCCGAGGTTAAAAACGCTCGCTGCCCTCCTCATCGTTCTTGCGCTCCGGGCCGTCCCTGTGCTCGTAGAATCGGTCTCGTCTTTTCTTCCAGAGGCTCGTCCAAATGCGTATTTAATTTTTTGCAGCTGATCATATCTGCATGAACCAGTGGTTTTCTGCTGTTCTGCTCAGGTGGCAGACCCATGCTGATTTACACTCTGTTAATCAGCTAATGGTTTCAACCAAGTAAATGACATTAATTAACTGGTGGGAACACCTGCCTCGGTGGGCGATCTGATTGGGATCCCCTGTCCTGTTGCTCCCTGATGGCTACAGAACAAATAACTGCTCTCAGGTTTCCACAGACTGGTTATGATGATTTGTCAGATATAAGGACCGCAGAATGAGCCAGGCTGTTTAAATTAGGATCTTTCTCCTCTGAAATGCGTGAAATATGTTCAGAATACAGAACATTTTATGTACAAGTTTGTATGAATGTTAGAAATTGAACGTTGTTATTGGAAAATCCTTTCTATTGATGAATTGGTTTTAATGGACAGATGTTATATACATTTCTAATTTTATAGTCTTTTTGTGAGGTTTTAGTTATTACTGGAAGTTGTTACTGGAAAAATATCAGATAAAATGCTTTGCAGCAATACTCGGAAACATGCTTTGGTTTTTAACAAGCGGAGGATTTGGAGATTGCTCGGACCGGATTTGGCTGCAGTGAATCTGGAGAAACAATTTGACAGACTTTCAGTGAGTTTTAGAAGAAATGAGTAGCTAAAATCAAAGCGTTTCTTTTTGTCAAGCACAGTTGCAAAAACAATTTGCAGACTAAATATGATAGATTAATGATTGGCTTAATATTCCACAGCTGGTTGTTCGCCGTTTGCTCTCTCCTCTTACCCCCCCGAGGAGCAGTAATCACGCATGACGAGCAGGAAGTCTCTTGGGAAGACATCCTCCAAGCATGCACTCACACACTGTGTTACCTGTCTGATTATTACTGGAGAGGATTATGAGTGTATTAGCTGCTTTGCCTTTATCCTCCATGTTTCTGTCATGTCTTGCCAGGATATCTGTTTTCCATATTACAGAGAACAGAAGTGTTTGCTTTCATGAAACTAAAATCCTTCTTTTTATTTTCAGGAAGTGGAGAGGGAGATCTCCTTTCGGACAGAGTGTGGACTATACTACTCCTACTATAAACAAATGCTGCACGCCCCATCAATACAAGAAGGTATGCACTGTGATCGCAGGTTTGTATTCATGACAGTTGTCATTTCTTCACAAACACAACTTAGAGGGTCAAAATGATCCAAGATCTTTCCACTCCAACAAAATAGTGTGTGGAAAGAAAAGCTGGAGTGGATGTTACAAGAAGCTGTAGTGTCCAGGTGTTAATCGAAAAGTGGTGTGTGTGTGTGTGTGGGAGATACCATTGGTTCATCTACAAAAAAAAATCACAGTCGGGTTTGAATCCCGGTGACCTCAAGGTCAGAGGTCATGTTTCCTGAATCTTGTGAGTGCAGTAACTTGAGTACAAGCTGACGTGGAATTTTTAAATGGATACCATACGTGTATCTACTTGGAGGCGGAGGGGCAGCGCTGGTGGCCGCCGGTATTTTTTTTTAATCTATTTAGCCATTTACCAATTACCTGAGAATCATTCAAGCGTAAAAACATCAGCGAACTCGGGGGATGAACCCGTAGTGTGTTTGTGCATTAACTGCAGATCGCTGCCTCGGCTGCACATCCATGATGCAAAGGGATGCTCCTGATGATGACGATGATAATAAATAGACAGCGTGGAGCAGGTAGCATAAAACAACTTTAAAATCTCTAAAAATCATTATAAATTGATATCTGAAGTAGTGTTTTTTTAACTACTGCAAGTCTCACACATAAGACCTGCAAAGTATCTCCTCTTGTTCCAGATTTTGTTCCCTGACTCCCTCCCTGAAGTAATTCCCTTTCTTCTTGTCTTCTATTACTCCCTCCACCAATTCTCATCTACCTCACTCCCTCCATCGCTCTGTCTTCCTCCCCTCACTTTTCCCTCATTATCACACCCTGTTCAGTCCCATCTCCTCACTTATTTATATCTCCTTCTCTTATTTGCCAAATCACAACAACAGTTGCCTCAAGGTGCTTTATGTTGTAAGGTGGACTCTACAATAATACAGACAGAGAAATGAGGAATATACAAGTGTTTCCATTACTATGTAAGTTTATTTTAAATAAAAAGAAAAAA